TTTTTTTTTTGTAGTTATAGATGGAGAGAATGCCTTTATTTTATTTATTTTTATGTGGTGCTGAGGATCGAACCCAGTGCCTCATGCTTGCTAGGCAGGCACTCTACCACTGAGCTACAACCCCAGCCCAAATAATGAAACTTTTGAGTAAGCACTGAAATATGTATCTTTCTCTATAAATTAAACGAATGTTCTAGGCATAAAACATAATTCTAAGAGTGAATTATCCAAAGAATATATTGGATTTTAAAATTTATACTGTGATTATATTTTACCAAATACAAATGTTAAAGATTGTTTGCCTGTACACATAGCTGTGGACAATTTAGTATAAATTTAGTTTCTGGTTTTGGAACTAAGAAAATGCAGAGCTAATATAAAGTATTGACTTCATATAAAGTATGACTTCAAAGATGTGAGGATAGCCCACTCTACTGAACCAACAGCTTATAAGTGGTGGTTTTTTCTAATTTAGCAAAGACGTAGGTTGGTTGACAAGATAAATGACCATGGGAAACTCTTCTGGGATGAAAAATTTACCACAACACAAACCACAAATTACTAAAAGTTAACTGTGCTTTACAAAGTACACTGCTTTTCAAACTTTAATGAACAACAAGAACTCTGTTACAATTCAAACTCTGATTCAGCAGATTTGGGTGTGGCCTGAGGATCTGTACTTCAAAGAGGCTCCCCCATGTGATGCTGTTGCTGCTAGTTCAGAGACAAGCAATAAGGACCTAAAGTAGTGGTCTGCAAACATTCTGGATTACACATCCCTATCAGCAGAAAATAAAACAAAAAGCTAACAAAAACTTTTGAGTAAGCACTGATATATGTATCTTTCTCTATAAATTAACAAATGTTCTAAGCATAAAACATGAAATTGAATGTTTAAAAGATTAAATAAACATAATAATTCTTATATTTTCTTCCTGGATCCCACTTACTTAGTAGGCAACAAATAGCTCTGTACTATTAGAAAACTGGAGTTTCAAATAAATAAATAAATAATAAAAAAAGAATGTCCTTCAAACCCCGCCCCCCAAAAAAAGAGAGAGAGAGAAAAAAAAAAAACTGGAGTTGCCAGGTGTCGTGGTGCCTGCTTGTAATCCCAGCAACTCACGGGGCTGAGGCAGGAGGATCTCAAGTTCAAAGCCAGCTCTAACAACTTAGCAAGACCCTATCTCTAAATCAAATATTTTTTAAAAAGGGCTTGGGGCTGGGGTTCAGTGGTTAAGTGCTCCTGAGTTCAATCCTTGCTATCATAAAGAAAGAAAACTGGAGTTTATCCTGTCATCTGCAGCAACATGGATGGAACTAGATGACTATTAAATACGCAAGGCACAGAAAGAAAAATATTGAACATTAACATTCATTTGTGGAAACTGAAAACTGATCATACAGTACCTGTCACTGTATGTTAGGAAGGGTAAGTAGGAGAGTTGACTAACAGATACCACAATACAGTTAGATATGGGAATTAGTTGTAAGTTTCCTTAGATCACGGTATGATACTTAGCCTACAATAATTTATTATCAATTTGAAAATAACTAGAGGAGATATTATAATATTTGAGATGTAAATGCTAATTATACTGATTTGATAATTGCACACTGGATTCATGTAGAATAAATATAATATTTATTCATTTGTAAATAAGAATGAGAAAAATAAATATGCATTAAATAAAACAGAATAAACGAGTTCAAATATTCTTTTTTTAAAATTTTAGTTTCTGAATTTCATAAAAAAAAAAAGGGGACGTGATCTGTCCTTAGTAAATTGTTAGGTAATCCTCTCTTAATACAGTGATCTATTAGTAAAGTAATACAATTAGAAAAAACATTTTAATTTATTGTGGAAAGAGAAAATAATTTTAAGTAAGTTTAAAGACATCAAGATAGCAAATCATTCCACCTAGATTTTACTAGTCTTGTGTTACTTTAAAAATCTCATGTTTCTAGTCATCTCCTACTGGCAGATCTATTTGGGAATATTAATCTTGATTTTCAAATAGTGGTAAGAGCAGAGCCAACTTCAGAGCTAAACTAAGGAGAACCACCATGCAAGGGAAAAGTATACAGGAGTTCTCAAGACTAAATGGAACCCTAACAATTGTGGGAGGCTCATCACTCCCTCAAACTAATCCAGAATAGCTGCTAATCAGGTATTATGTATGGTGCTATATTTTCACCACAGATCCATAAAAGTTTTGTTTCAGAACTTCACATGAAATAGAAGCCTCAATGTTTCTTGATAAGAGACCTCTACTCTTCTCCAAACATAATTTGCCTATTCTCATCACTGTGTCTTATTTAACAATGTTCTGTCTAAACTGGACTTCTGTCTTATATCTCATAGTACATGTCATGTTTTGTTTGTTTGTTTGTTTTTTAAGTTGTAGGTGGACACAATACCTTAGTTTGTTTATTTATTTTTACCAGGTACTGAGGATCAAACCCAGTGCCTCACATGTGCTAGGCAAGTGCTCTACCACCGAGCTACAGCCCCAGCCCACGTCATGTTTTTTTAATAATCCAGCTCAAATCCACCAAGACTGCCTTACTCCATCTTCTCACAAACCATCACTGCACTGCTTTGCATAAATAATGTAATGAGGATAGCTTAACTACGTTATCCATAACATGCTTTTTTAATGTTCTTTGGAGTTTTAACATTTCTACCTCTGGAGAATTTTTCTTTTCTTTTCTTTTTTTTTTTTTTTAAAGAAAGAGTGAGAGAGAGTGAGAAAGAGGGAGAGAGAGACAGAACTTTAATATTTATTTTTCAGTATTTGGCAGACACAGCATCTTTGTCTGTATGTGGTGCTGAGGATTGAACCCGGGCCGCACGCATGCCAGGTGAGCGCGCTACCACTTGAGCCACATCCCCATCTCTTCATGAATTTCTCAAGGGAAGCATGATACTTTCTACTTTTCTTATTTCCTTCATGGGCCCACTAGCAGCCGTGGATCAGCAAAATTCCTTATATACTTAATGTTTTGCTGCATACTTTGCTCTCACACTTTCAAATCTAGGGCTCCAATATAACTGCTTAGGAGGACAGCTAGGTTCTGTGAGCCTCTGCATAGCTACCTAAGGTAAGTTATAAAACAGGGCAGTAGAAGTAGATAATATTCCTCCAATCAAGTTAGTTTTAATTACTTGCATCAATTCAGTGAACAATAGTCTAATTTCATGCTGCCCTTTCTCCTGTTTCTTCTTCACTAGTCCCCTTACTTCCTCTTTCTTGCCTCCAATCTAAAACATGACAAAAGTCAACAAAGCATGTAATTTCCAGCAACTTAATATAATTTTCTCTTGCTTTGATAATCACAGGACATAAATAATAAGTAATTGCAGATGACTGGTGTTGTGGCTCAGTGGTAGAGTGTTCACCTAGCACATGTGAGGCACTGGTTTTGATCCTCAGCATCACATAAAAATAAATAAATAAAAAAGTTATCATGTCATCTACAACTAAAAAAATATTTAAAAAAAAAACAATTGCAGGGCTGGGGTTGTAGCTCAGTGATAAAGCGCTTGCCTTGCACACATGGGGCCCTGGGTTCGATCCTCAGCACCACATATAAATAAATAAATAATAATAAAGATATTGTGTCCATCTATATATATATATAAACAACTGCAGTGAAAATCAGGCTCAAAAATTCACCTCTGTCCAATAAAGTAAAGTACAGGGATCATATCAACTGAAATAAAATTTTTTAAAAAGATGTTAGTCTGGCTGGGTATGGTGGGACATGCCTATAATCCTAGCTATTTGAGAGACTAAGGCAAGACTTGATATTTTCAAGTCCGAAGTTTGAAGCCAGCCTTAGTGAGACCCTGTCTCAAAATAAAAAATAAAAAAAATGGGGATTTAGTCAACTGATAGGGTTCAATTCTCACCATACTATGAAAAAAAAGATAATAAATTAAAATACATAGTCCTTGACAATTTGATAGCCAATGAATGAATCATCTTTATATAGTTCTTAAAATGGAGGTGAGAGGAGTCATATGTTCTCCTAAATAAAAACTATAACAAAAGATATTTTACTAGGATTTGAATTTCTCTATTTGTTCAGACATAGTGTAGAATATGCTCTCAAACATCAGTCCTTTCTCAACCAAGCTTCCATGGAAAAAATTAACCTTTGTTTTTATTTCTTTTTATTTTTAAAATTTTTTTGATGCATTATAATTTATATATAAGTTGGATTAATTACTTCCCTAATAGTGGGATTCATTATTAACATATCTGTAAGAATTAACCCTTAAGGTCATATTATCATTTACATTCATAGAGAGAAGGCAGGTGCCCTTCTTGGAACAACTGAGAAAAGAGTCCCTCAAATCATATTCTTTGTTCTGTGATTTCAGATGAAAAACCCCAGCTGAAAAGGTCACACTCAAGGACAATATAATTTCCTAATGCCTGGCAATGGCAGGAAGGGACACATTCATGGAACACTATATAAGAACATCTGTTTCTAGTCAAGCATGATTTATGGTGCCAAACAGATGCCAGATGAACTCATTAAAGCTGACAAAGTCTCAAGAAAGCAATGTTTACCAGATTTATCATTTTTATGATTGTAAGAGAACAAGGAAATCACCCAAGTCATTCATCATCATACAGCACTTCCAGTTCCAAAGAATACTGACTTACGTTGGGTGATAACACTCTACCATTTTTAACTTTTTCATCCACACTGTTTCTTCGACTCTGGAGCTGATCCTTTTCTTTCTGGAGGGCTTGAACTTGTTCTGAAATCCTTATTTTCTCCTCAGCTGAGCTGCTCTGGAGTTGAATACTCTTTTCACATAACTCTTGGTCCAACAAATTCAAGCGACTTGATATTTTCAAACTATCTGTGTTTAAGGCCTAAAAAGACACAACCCCCAGATATCCCAAAAACAGTTACCAGAAATCCACACTACTTATAAAGTAGGAAAAACAGAGAAATTACTTAATGAACGCATTTTTAGCTTTCACATTATTATTTTCTCCCATGGATTTCTTTTGGAAGGTCATTATCTAAAATCTTAAGTTGAATGCCTTAAAAAAAATGAATTTATTACCAAGATTACCTTGGCTAGTGTTTTTCCTTTTTATTATTTTCTTAATTGAACTTTTCTTTCTTAGTTTATTTTTTTTAATACTTATTTTTTAGCTGGACACAATACCTTTATTTTGTTTATTTATTTTTATATGGTGCTGAGGATTGAACCCAGGGCCTCACACATGTTAGGCGAGCACTCTACCACTGAGCCACAACCCTAGCCCTTTCTTAGCTTCTTATATTGTAGAATTGCTACAATTTCCTAGAGGTTGAGATTTGATGTATGGGTAACGTACAATTTGTTTTTTTGTTGTTGGGTTTTTTTTGGCTTATTTTATTTATTTATTTTATTGTTGGTCATTCAAAACATTACATCTTTCTTGATATATCATATTTCACAGTTTGATTCAAAAGGGTTATGAACTCCCAGTTTTACCCCGTATACAGATTGCTGAATCACATCAGTTACATCAATTACATTTCCATTGATTTACATATTGCCATTCTAGTGTCTGATGAATTCTGCTCTCTATCCTAT